GAAGGGGATGGCGATGGCGATGCCGACGAACGAACAGAGAGAGCAGAGATGGATGGTGACGAAAAATCAAATAGAGAGAGAGCAGAGATGGATGGAGAGAGATAGAAGAGAAGGGGACGAAGAGAGAGAGAGAGAGACTTAAAATGAATTAAAGACAAAAAAATAAATGAATAATAATAACATAACTTTATATAGGGGGAGTCAAATGGAAAATGTAAATTAAGGGAAGGGAGTGCAGTGAAATTTTATTTACAAGGGGACTGAACTGGAAGTTCATTATAGGAGAGGGGATTTAACTTGAATTTACCGAAAATAAAATGAGTAATGCAAGTACATAATAATATTCTACATAACATTCGCATTTAGTGGAATTCATCAAAAATAAAAATCACGCAGACCCAATTTCATATGAATATTATATACATTTATTATGTAATTGTAGCATTTTTTAAATAAAATTCCATATAAATTGATTAATTCTACACTTTGTGAAGCGGTCTATCAAACACGAACCAGCTTCCATAATTTGTATTATCACCGGAAAAATTCCGGCTATGTAGCCTTTTGACTCTCAACTCTCAATTAATCAAGTTAATTGAGAAGTTTAGAATATTCTAGCATGAATCATTTCATACATTTTGAGAATGTATTTATGTGGACAATTTAGTAATTTACCATCTTTTCAAGTGAATGATACACACAGAATCTCGTAAAATTAGTGCAAATTTTCAGTATATATCCCGATGATGTTACCTTAATAGGGTCTTAAAAAATCTCCACGCCTCAATTTCTCTGGTCGACTCTTCAAGTTATCCAATAACCCTAACTCGAATTAAATCATATGTTATCACTGACCTCATCTCGATCTTTGACATTTCTCATCGAGCTACCATGTGAAGCGGTCTGTTTAACCGAACTATTCTAGCTAGCTATATCACATGAAAAAAACAATTACAAGAATTCATACTTATGCACATGCAAGTACACAATAATACTTAATGATACACATAGAATCCCGTTAAATTAGGCCAAATTTCCGTTAGTAAATGTCCGATAATAATACCTTAATACGTCTTTTTATTCTTAAATAAGTACTTAAACTCCTCAATTTTTCTGGTCGGCTCTTATTATCAGGTTGTCCAAGAACTCTGACTCGAACTAAACCATCTGCATCATTGACATCTCGATTTTCGACGTTTTCTCACTGAGCTGCCACGTGAACCGGTCGATTTCACCAAACAATTCTACCTAGCTAAATATATCACATGAAAAATCAGTAAAAATAAAACTCATAATTACTAAATCCCATGAAAAAAATAAAAAAGATA